CCGGTTGGGTGGGTGGGGGGACACTGGCAGGCGAACCTAGGAAGCCGGGCTCTCTTGGGCAGGGGCAGGGGCAGGGGCAGGTTTCTGGCCCACACTGGCCTTGGGCTGGGTCTGCTAGTGGCCATCTGGTCCTTCCAGGGTGGGTGACCTCCTGCTGGGGGCCTGCCAAGCTATTGTTTGCAGCTTTGCAGGAAGCTGCCTGAAAGGGCCATTGAAAACCGATCCTTCTAAATCAGGCCTAGCAATATCACTCCCTTTCACGCAAGGCCACATTCCGAGGCATTCAGTGGGTCTGTTTGTAAAGCCTGGGAATCGAGTGTGTGTGACTTCAGCCCGGAAAACAGCAGCGTCCCACTCTCGCAGCGGAGAGCCGAGAGCCAGGCGCGCTGCCCTCCTCTGAGCAAGGCCTTGCTCCCGGGACCCTATGGATGTGTGACCAAGAAGTACATTTAAATCTACAAACTCGCGTTCAGAGAAATGCCACGTGACCTGGTAGGTCCCCTGCTTGTGGGCCCAACAATTTTTTGAAATAAGATATCAGTAGAGAAACTTAGATGGCTAATTACACGGTTTATAACTTCAAAACAGTATTTGTTAATTAATTTCTTCCATGAGCGAGACAGAGACAGGCACCCCCAATGAGGCCTCGACTCTGCCATGCACCCTGGGCTGTCAGCCCTGGCTCGCGGGCACACGCATGCCCTCTGTGACAGAGGTCTCTGGACGCGAACCGGACCCTCTTGTGCTGGCCGACCTGGCGGAGTGCTGCACTGCCCAGCTGCCCAGGACACTTGTCATTTCATGTCTCCTTTTTAAAATTTGCTCTAGACCCTGTGTGCCTGCAATGGGTGAGAAGGCAGCCCCAGCAAGGGCGTCCACACTGCAATCCCTTCTCCATCCTCCTCTCAGGACTTTGGGATGCACACACACGTCAGGCATATTCCTTGAGCTGGCGGGGCCGGGACTCAAACCACCTAGGTGGCCATGGGAGACCCAGCCTCCTGACCACCACGTGACCAGCTGGCACCCCGCTTATTTTTTAAATACGTGACAGATCACTTTCACTAGCTGGGTAACGGGCTCCATGTAGTGTTCGAGGAGAAGAAAACTTCCGAGATCCGACTGCCGGCCTCTCAGCGTCTCTTCACTCTAGCCACCCCGATGAAGACAAACGGAACAGGCAAAACGGGACCCCACTGGTCTACGCTGCAGGGTGGCCGGGCGTGCATCTGAATTTGAGTCCAATTTCAACATGATCACTTTACTATTTAATATTTTTGAGGAGCAAAACAACTAGAAGGTGGGACCAGCAGTTGGTATAATGGCTACGTCGCTGTACTCTCATGTAGTCGACCGCGGTTCGAGTCCCGGACCCGGTGGCTTAAACTCACATGTGTGTGTGTCCAAGATTCTGAGAGAATGAAGGAGAAAGGATTGCGGCGTGGCCATCCTCCCTGTGGGGTGATTTCTCGTTTTCTGTCTCTCTGTCTCTCTCTGTCTTTCTGGCGAGCACACATGCCTTATAGCAAAAAAACTCTCCAAAAAAAAAAAAAACTATAAGGAATGCTAAAAAGAAAAAAAGTCGGGGGTGAGTGGGATAACTTTAAAATAGTTTCAGAATCACACAGAGAACTCTCGCCTCCCCGCCAGAAAGGTTCATTATCTGTGCTTGCCCCGCGTACTTTAGCATCATGTTCACCCGTCTCTTTCTGGCTCTGTACAGTGTAAATGTCACTAGGCTTTTTCTGGGTCATCTGAGAGCAAGTCACAAACACCACGCCCCTTCCTGCTAAATCTGGATGTGCCAGCTCCTGAGGACACGCCCCCTGTGTGAGCACACGCCCGGACTGCAGGGATGTGCCAGCTCCTGAGGACACCCCCCACCCGTGCGAGCACACGCCCGGACTGCAGGGATGTGCCAGCTCCTGAGGACACCCCCCCACCCGTGTGAGCACACGCCCGGACTGCAGGGATGTGCTAGCTCCTGAGGACACGCCCCCTGTGAGCACACGCCCGGACTGCAGGGATGTGCTAGCTCCTGAGGACACGGCCCCCGTGTGAGCACACGCCCGGACTGCAGGGAAAGGTGACAGGGGTCTACTCTCTGTCCAAGGCCGTCCTGTGGCCCAGCCCCAGTGTGCCTGGGAGACCGTCAGACCGACTGCACATTGGGGACGACCCGGCGAGGACGACCCGGGCTGTCGGGGCCCCGTGCTCAGACGGCCCTGGCAGACATCACCTGGTGCTCTGGCCTCGGTCAGGCCTCACTGTGGAATGGGGCTGAGGGATGCTAAGTGCGAGGAGAGTCCTAAAAACTCCTAAAAAAATGTAAAGTACAAGTTTATTTTGGTGCAAAAACTTGTGAAATTTGTGCACGGTTCCTTTATAATGTGCCTTTTCCAGGAACTTTTTGGAGACCACAAAACCAAGCTCTGCTCCCTCTCGCCTGCCCGTTGCCCTTGGAGCCGAGTCTACAGACATGAGTCATTCCGTGCCAGCCGGCAGGCTGACTATCGATCCGAATGTTTTCAATTCCAAAAATAAAACGGTGTTGATGGGGTACTCGCCTCTAACCCCTGGCCACTTGGCATCCCGGAGTCTAATGAACACACACGGCTACATTTCGCCCCAGGGTCCTGAGCTACCCCAGGGCAGGGGGGCTCCAGGGGGCCTGACAGCCGGCTTTGCAGAGCCCGCCCCACCTCGCGTGTGCAGCCGGAACCCACAATTGGCAAAGGACCGCCGACTGTGGGCACGGAATGCCACGGTGCACCGGGGTCTCCTCCAGAGCGTGGTGGAACGCTACCTTGGGGGTGAGGAGGCCGCTTCCCAGTCCCTGGAAGAAGCCTACAGGGGGTGTGAACTCGTGAACCGCCTGCCTGTTAAACAGAAGACACTGGTTTTGGAAATGACTGGGTTCAAACCAGCACTCTCTCAGTTCGTTCGCCTTGGCAAGTCGCCCAGCCCCCTGGGCCTCACTCCCATCGTCCACACGGCGGATAACTACACGCGCCCAGTGGACACAGAGTGAAGCAGCAAGAGTGGAGCCTGGCCTGCAGGAGGCGCCCGGCTCACGGGTCTCGAAGCACAGAAAGCTCCGGCTACAGGAGAGCCCTGCCAGGCCAGGCTTGCCGCCTGAGTGGAGCATGAGCGGACTGGGGGTTCGCATTCGATCCTACATGCTCCATGGACGGTCGGGGTGCAGGCAACGGCCCCCTTGGCAGCGACAGGGAGCCGGGCTGTCCCTGTGCGGTGCTCTGATCTGGGTGTGCATGTGGAACAGAAGAGTGAGATATTTACCTTGTCCAGGGCCTCTCTGTCAAGGAGCTCCTGCACAGCTAGAAGCTTGATGCTGCAAGAGAAATTGAAACCGCACTTGAACACAGGTCAACTCAGGTCAGCAACCATCGTCCCCCAAGTCACGAGACCAGAAGTCTGAAATTCCTGCCTGCATGTCTATGTCACCCCAATTAGGGTGACCTTTTGTTTGTATCAAAATGACCACTGCAGAAACATTAAAAAGTTCCAAATTCTAGCAGTCACCTAGTCTGTGACCAGCAAGTCCATTTGAGGAGTGTTCCCCACAGGTGACGGCACACACCAGGACAGGGACCTGCACCCCGAGGTCCACAGCAGCTGATTCGCAAGAGCCCGGAGGTGGAAACTGCCCAGATGGCCGTCAGCGGTGACGTGGGACCTGTGGTCGCCACACGTTCTCGGCCAACTCAACGGGAGGGAAGTCTGGATACACGTGCACCGTCCAGCCGGAGCTTGGAGACAGCGCGCCAAGTAGCTGGCAGCCCCACGGATCTGCACAGGACGTGGGGGTGGGCCCCAGGGCTGGGTGCTAACAGAATCTTGGTTCGGGGTGGGGTTCTGGAGATGCTGTGACAGCCACCGACCAACGGGAGTGTCCTCGAGGCACAGCGCTGCACGGTTCAGCGGCCAACCCCATGCTGTGCTCATTTCAGCACAGACGCTTCCAAGGACCATGGAGGCTACTCCGTGTGAGGGGTTTGGACAGACTCAGGAACAGAGACGAGAAGGGTCGCCCATGCACCGGTGTCCAGGGGACACGGGCAGACAGCCGCAATCGCCCTCGCCCGTCCCACCCCGAGGGACCCTGCCATGTGTGGGTGGCCGGAATACGCCGTGACTGACGCGCTCCCTGGGTCAGAGAACCCCTGTGCACTGCGTAGGTGCCTGGCCCCAGTGAGCACCTGCGGGCAGAGCCCCAGCCTCCTCAGCGCACTCTGCACACACCTCGGGTCCAGCTGGCCAGTGTGGACGCAGCTTGTGCTAGGTTAGGGTGTCCAGTTGTGATCCGAGTCCCAGAAGCTAAATTGCACCTGAAACAACCACTAGAAAGTGCCGGCACTGAAGGTCGCACATGCCTGCCCCGTCTACGGGCATGAGTCTGAGCGGACGAGCCATCGACGTTAGAGAGGAGCTTTAAATCGAAACGTGCTAAGGTACTCGCCCTCTTGCACTCCCTGTGCACAGACACCACACCCGAACCACCGTGGAGCTCCATCTGGAAGCCAACAGTCTCAGGCTCTGCACGAAAATGGAATTCAAACACGCTGGCTCCCCAGCGGGGGCCGGGGCCGAGCCTGGTAACCACCTGCAGGAGACGCTCCCTGCTCTGTCAGCCCATCCTCCACAAGGGGTGGCAGACAGCCAACGTGCCCGAGCCTGCTCCCACCCTCCCCTCTTCCCACGGCGCCCCCCTGCAACGGCCTCCGAGGTGAAACCCACTGAGCAGTGTGGACACCCCTGCCGGGCAATGCTGGCCTTTTCAACTTCCCAGGGGCATGTGTGCTCACCAGAGAGAGACGGGAGACAAGGAGAGGGCGAGGGAGAAGCACGCCATGGAGCTCGGTCAGGCTGCAACCCCTTCTCCAGTTCTTTATCCTGTCGAGATTTGGGGCATAAACGCATACACGCCCAGCATGTTTCCCTAGCCGCTGGGTCCAGGACTCAAACTGTGCCGTCCATCATGTGAGGCCCACCTCCCTTAACCAGTAGGCCATGAGGCTGGGCCTACGTCACTGCATGAGGGCAGAAGTGACAGACCTACACAGTCAGCACTCAGTAACAAATGGGCCAGCTTCAGGGCCGCGGGAGAGCTGCGAGGCACACACGTCTCAGCCGGCCGTGGCTGCAGCCGCCCGTCGGAGAGCGGAGGGCAGACGCCGCCGCGAGAGGACACAGAGACTTCGCGATGCAACTAATACTGTTGCTTCTAACCCCGTTGGAAGCCCTTCAGCTGGGGTATTTATTTCAGTTCTTACAGTATCGGAACCTTCTAGGACATCAGACCCCCAGGAGGACAACTCCCACGTGTGAAGAGCAAACCTGCTTACAAAGCCCCGCTTGATCCATCTGACTTCTCTCCTGGAAGAGGACCTGATCGCCCATGTGCAATTCTGCCCGCCCTCGCTTCCCTCTGCTCAGTCCACACACACTGAGTGCTCCTGTGTTTCAGAAATGGTGCCACCCATCGGGGGACAAGAAAGCGGCATCCCTCCTCCCCGAGAGCTCAGAGGAGCCAGGAGCCAGCTGGGCACGTGTTGGGGCCAGGAGGAAGATGTCTCCTCGAGCCTCTCCCAGGTTCCCATGTGGACCATGGAGCTGGCCTTGGAGGACGCATCTCTCGTGGGCCTGGGGCTTGGTCAGCACCCTCTGGGCACACAGAGCCCCATGGCTGAAAGCTGCAGGGAGCTGTGACTTATTTTCCTGTGCGTCACTAGGAGAACAGGGGCCAATCACACTGAAGCGGCTGACAAGGGTGATTTCCTTACAAAAAGGACAAGTTCAGGGACCAGCAGGTAGTGTAATGGCTATGTCGCTGGACTCCCACGTAGTCCCGGACCCGGTGGCTTAAACTCACGCCGGGCACGTGTGCGTGCGTGCCCAAGATCCCGAGAGGAGAATGGAGGAGAAGGGATTGCGGCGTGGCCATCCCCCCTGGGGGGTGATTTCTTGCTTTCTGTCTCTGCCTCTCTCTGTCTGTCTGGCGAGCGCACGTGCCCTATAGCAAAAACCTCTCCAAACAAACCAAACAAACAAACAAAGGGCAAGTTCAAGGGCAAGCTCTGAAGAACACACACTCAGAAGGACCTAGAACAAATGCATGGTGGTTTGCCACCGAAGCCTCTAGGCAGCAGGGCACGCAAGGGCAATGTACTCAGCTGGGTGGTGTCAGGCTCAGAGCTGGAAGGGGCGCCAGGGAAGGAGCCAGGCAGACACTGACAGCAGGGGAGAAAATGGCAGTTCTGAAGTTGGGGCACCCCCAGGCTGGGCTAGCTGGGGGTCGCAGCCTGAACTGACCTCAGTGGCCCCTGGAAAGGCACCCGGGAGGGAACTCTGTGAGGACTACAAAAGCACTTAAAGTACATTCCCGGGGCCAGCAGGTGGTGTGGTAGTTAAGGCGCTGGACTCCCCCAAGGCTGACCATGGTTCAAGTCTAAGACCAGGTGACTTGAAAATCACACTGGGCACGTGTGCGCACGTCCCCAAAATCCTGGGAGGAGAACGAAGAAGGTTTTGTGGCATGGCCATCCCCCGGGGGCAATTTCTCACTTTCCCTCTCTGTCTCTCTCTCCAGCAAGAACACACACCCTATGGCAAAAAATGTTTAAAATAATAATAATAATTATTATTATTGGAAAAAATGGTAAACTCCAAATTCTAGAGAGAGACATCCTTCCAGAATAGATTTTTTCTAAAGAATCATTAATTGTTTAAAACTATTATTTTTCACTATGCTCTAGGGCACATGCATTCACAGAGAGACAGTGAGAAAGCGGGCGGCCGCGTCCGGGACTCAAACTGCAGTCAGCCGCGTGAGAGTCCAGCACCTTAACCACCATGCCACCTGCTGGCCCATCCAGAGTGGATTCTAGCCTGCGAGGACCTGAGTCGAGAGTCATCCTGCCCCTTCTCTGCAGGCCCCGGCACTCGGTGTTCCCACTGCCTTCTGACAGATGAGGTCCGGATTTTACTTCCTCGAAACCCTTCCTATGTAACCCCGCTTTTTTTTCTTTTCATATCAAACATTCCTTCCTTATCAATTTTTGCTCCTGTTCCAGGGAGAACAATTTTTTTTAACTGCCAGGGGGCACATGCACCAGACGTGCGGGGCTTGCAGGGGTGCGGAGTGAGAGAGAAAGCACCCCCAACGCTCCCCAATGGGGCTCGGTCACCGCGATCCCATCTGCACTCCTCCGTCCCGTCAGGGCTCTGGCAGGAACGTCCACACACCCGGTGTGCTCGTCAAGCCACTGGGGCCGGGACTGGAACTGCGGTTGGTCATGCAGGACCCGGCTTCCTATGCACTGGCTTAGCTTCTGCGGTTGGTCATGCGTGACCAGCCCCAAGACCACGACGCCACACGGTCCCCAAATCACTGTGGGCTGAGGTGACTCCGAAGGCAGCAACTGGGTCTCAGGGGCCGCCGTACCTTGTCCGGCAGGACTTTTTCCGGGGCTTTCTCTCCCTCGTTTGTCCTTACCCATCTTTAAACGAGGACAAAGTAGGCAGACCTGACCCCACGACCCCACACAGACGGTAGCGTGAACTCAGTGTGGCACCGCTCCTGCCCGGATGCACAGAGGCTCACTCTCCGGGCACCCACGGCGGGACCGACGGCGAACAGCAGAGCTTCCAGCGGCTCGGACCTTCCCTGCACTGGGCGTCACTGAGCAGGGGTGACAGCTGAGCCGCGGAGGCCGGGCTGGCTGTGACAGGAGGCGGGAGTCAGCTGACTACTTAATGCCACTTCGTAGAAGGCTCAGCTTGAGAGCGGAACGGCTGCTTTAACTGCAGGGGAGGGGAGCACTGCGGGAGGCTGGGCCGCCCTGTCCCGGGACTTGGGAGAAGAGAAGCCACGGGGAAGAGAAAGGACACACGGCCTCCCCACACCGCGGAGCGCTCCCGGCAGCCCGGGCTGTGACGGTGGCGGCACGAGCGCTGAAGGAAGCTCAGGCTAGTGAATGCACGTCAGACACGCGCCTTCCAACCTCCGCCTCGCCCCTGGCCTGGGTAACCTACTCCCCAACTGGAGGCAGGCTTGCTTTGGTGCGTGTTTTGATTTCCCATAGGATGCGTGCGTCGCTGGAGAGAGACAGAGGGAGGCGATACAGCTCCCGGAAAGTGGTCCCGCCACAACCCTTTCTTCTCCCTCGGCCCTCTTCGGGACTCCGTGCACTCGGCACGTTCAGGCTGCTGGCCCAGGACTTGAACCGCGGTCGGCCACGCAGGTCCAGCCGCCTGAGACGCCAGGCCGCGGGGATTTGGGTTCCTGTTTTATTACATTGCAGAGAGGCCAGGTGCTGGTGCAGGCCCCGG